TAGCAATAGAACAAAGTGTTAACAAATTCTGAAAGTTGAATATAGTACGGAATATAATAAGGCTTTAATGTCCTCGCTTAAAGCTAAGTATACGTGAATATGTCTGTCCATCATTATCTGTTTATAAATTCATTAATATATTTTACAATATGAATATAATAGTGTTCTTCATAAGCAATGCATGAGAGGTAATTAAGCGATCCAAATGATACATGCATTTTTCAAGATTTTCTAGAAGGGTGGCATGATCTTATTATAATGCTTCGGTTTGCGATTATTAACATAATTTTACAATTTTTTCTTAAATAATGTTTAGTTAGTTTTGTGATCCTCCTCAGATTTTGATGATAATGTATTATCTTATTTGGTAGAGTTTGTTTTATACTCCGTAGAATTTAGCTTAATGTTATGTTTGGCATGTAGAATTTAATTTAAGCTCATAATATAAGACCTAGAATATATACCTAGGCAAATAATCAATTTTGACATTAAATTAAAACGGTATTTTCATTTATCTAATGATGTAATCAACATGACTGAATATTTAATCCATACTTTAACAATATATTTGTTGTATTTGTAATAATATATTACGCACTATTACTACATCGTCTATATGTCTAGTATATGTAATTCCTTGATGTTAAAATTATTTTAAAACATAGAACTTTCATTTTGTTAAAGATTTCATTTCATTTGACAAATTGCTTCATACTACATAAATGTATTAAAGTTTATCACTTGAAATTAGTCTATATAAATACATAAAGTTATAAGATCGTCTCTGATTTTTAGAAGATGTATCTGTGTTTAAAATCCCATAAATAAGAAATTATTTCATTTTGAATAAATAACCTTAGCATTGCCTTTTTGAATTTTGACAATTCTAAAGGATTAAGGCAAAATTGAAAACAAGAATACTACCAAATCGAAGTAAGTGGAGCAAAACACCAGGTCCCATAAAATCCTAAGATTGTACCAAAACCATACAAGTCGAATAATGGGCCTAACCAGTAACTGTAAAGAATGGCATCAACATCACCTATTGTAAAGGCCCAATTTCTACGACCTCCCTGTCACTCCTCCTGTGAAACCGACACCCACATTTCAGCCAATAACAGCTATGGAGTAATTGTCCCAGCCACTTTTATTTTTTATTTTTATTTTTTATACTACGTCACTGCATCTTTAATTATTGTCTCGTACTGCATCTTTTTTGTTTTTACTCAATTTTTTGTCTATTACTAAAATTTACTACGTATTTGTTCATTTTGTTTTTATATCCGTTCTTTTTAATCACAATATTGAAGATTTATATTTGTCAATACATATTTTATAAGTATCTTAATAAACTTATAAAAACTTGATAATTTTAAAAGTAGATATCGAGATTAATCTAAATATTTTTATATAATTAATTTTTTTTTTTTTCAATTTTTAAATCACAAATTACGATTAAATGAGTGTAGATGAATAGCGTGAATTTTCAAATATTGCAAACTAGCAATTAGAAAGAAAGGCGGAAATATATACGTGATACAAACACACAACCATCAACAATCAATGTTAGATGGATAAAAAATTAAAAACGTATTAAAGCAATAGGGGATAAGGAATTATTTTAAGTGTTAGTTTCCCCTCTTATTCTTTCCTCCTAAGAAACCTATTCTGTACCTTGCTAAGTTGAGTAAGATAACTTGTGCGAGGTATTGATCTTTTTATACTACCTTCATTTTTATTTAGTTGACACCATTTTATTATCACGCTTGTCAACGCACTATTTTAACATTTAATATCTTTAACTCTTGACATTATAAAATTATAAAAAAGTGGATATTAATAAAATATACATTGAGACGATTTAAATAACATCTCACTTGACTATGTTTTATCATGGGACTTGTTATTCATCGCCCGCAAATCTCTACATAAAGCCCACATTTTATAATTTTTTGACAAATTTGCCCTTTTTATAATTTTAACCGAAGATAAATTTTTCGCACTAAAAAAATGTGGAGCAGCACCGGATCGCCGAGGATCACCGGAGAATCGCCGTCGTCATCGGAAAACGAGGTTCGTAACGCATCGTAAGGACGAAATGGTGGCTGGCGCCTAGCCAAAAGGCCATGCCGTGGTTGTGGCGCCTAGCCAGGACGCCGCCACCGTGGTCACGGCGCCTGGTGGAGAAGCCTCGACCATAGTAGTGACGCGTGGCCAGGACGCCGCAGCCACGGCCAAGGCGCCTGGCCAGGACGCCGCCACCATGGCGGCGGCGTCCTGACCAGGCGCCCCGGCCGTGGCTCCGGCGTCCTGGCCAGGCGCCAGTAGGGGAATATTTTTTTTTTTTATTTTTTTTTATTTTTTTTTTTAATTTAATCCCTTTTTTTTTTTTTTTGTTTGTTTTTGTTAATTTAATCTTAATGTAATTATATTTATACGTTATATGTTATTGTTACAGGATTATGGTGGAGACGGAAATGATTACAGTGGGATTTTTGTACATGATGGCCTGTTCGAAGATGCTCAACAAGCGATTGATTGGGCAAAACAGGTTGCAATTAGATCAGGCTTTTGTTTAGTAGTAGCAACTCATAAATCTCAACGGGATGGTAGAATGGATCGCATTTTGAGATGCGACCGTTATCGCAAAAGAGAAGAACGAGATTTCAGTAAAGCGATTCGGTTTGACTCAAAGCGGAAAGGTTGTGGGTGTCAGTTCCGAGTTAAGGTTCGACAACATCAAAGGCGTGACGGTTGGGAAGTGAAGGGTTACGGCAAATGGGGATATCACAACCATGAGCTGATAGCATACAAAGTGGGGCATCGGCAGTTAAGCGGCCTAAGTCCAGCTGCGAAACTAGTTGTAAAAGAAATGAGTGATGCTCAAGTGAAGCCCGCTAAAATATTAGCGTCTGTGTTAGAGAAATTCCCCGAAGACCAGCCAAACCGAAGACACATCTACAACGTCAGACAGAAATTGAGGTTTGAACGGTCAGAGGGAAGGAACCCTATACAGCAGCTTCTGCACCAGGCACAAGCACGTGGTTACCTTTACTGGTTTGAATCTGACGAAGACACATCGGAGGTAACTCATTTGTTCCTTGTCCATCCTGATTGTGCTGATATGATTTCGTCTTGGCCATCTGTGATTTTGATCGATTCAACGTACAAGACAAACAAGTACAAGTTCCCACTGGTTGAGATGGTTGGGATGGCTCCAACGAACCAGAACTTTCTGATTGGTTATGCAGTCATGAAGGATGAGACGGCTGCGAGTTACCGTTGGGTGTTGGAAAAGTTGAGAAACTACATCGGCCCAAATGTACAACCATTGGCCATCGTAAGTGATTGTGAGGGAGGTCTTTTTGCCCCTATAGCGGAGCTGTTTCCGGAGTCGAGCCATTTACTGTGCACATGGCACATCAACAACTGCGTGAAAGTCAAAGCCTACAATCTTTTCAACAAGAATTTAGTAACAGCAGAGACATTGGTAAATGGTAAGTGGCGGAAGATCATGCAAGCTACCACAGAGGCAGAGTACGATCGAGCCTTGGAAAACTTCAAGGATGCGTACAAGTGGTGCCCGCCAATCGTAGACTATGTGATGCATCAGTGGGTACCTCAGAGGGAAAAGTTTGTCAAATATTGGACGAACCAAGTTCTTCATTTTGGGAACACTACGACATGCAGAGTCGAGAGCGCTCATAGAGCTTTGAAGGACTGGATTGATTCTTCCACGGCTGCTCTGGATACACTGTTCGAGAGAATAAACAAGGCTATTGATACTCAGAGGAACGGCATCAAGAACTATCTCGAGGACTCCAGACGACGACATGGCATGTTGTATGGCCATTTCATATTTAAGATTCTCCACGGTCGTGTGTCACACCACTGTTTGGGGTTGATTCTGAGCGAGTATACCAGGATGAGGGAGTTGGGCGATGAAGTGGCTATTCGGTGCGGATGTGCTATATCAATGACTCATGGATTACCTTGTGCATGCACCATTCACCGCGTAATTACGCAAGACAGGGCGTCGTTACATGTCGATCAGGTTCATCCATTCTGGCGGACGCTCGTTATCGGAGAGCATGCTGTTCCGCATACGGTTCACCGTGAACAGGAGGAGTTGGAGCAGTTTCAGATGATGTTTGACCAAGTGTCCTCCAGTCACCCTTCGATCATTCGTAGTGCTACACACATACTTCATGACATGTTCAATACATCGTGTTTGGATACCGAGGAACCGGAAGGGGTCGAGCGACCTAGGGGTCGACAACCACGGCGGAACAAGAGTGCGTTTGAGTACATTCGCGGTCGTGGCCGTGGCCGTGGCCGTGGTCGTACATCCTCATCAAGTGGCAGCCAATCATCGTCGTCGGTGAATATGCCCGGCACCGGTAAGACATTCGACTTCAATTTCTTTTGTTGACTGTTTGATTAGTTTACTGTTGACTTGTTTATTGTGTTTATTGATGTGTGTAACAGGGAGAATGGACATTGAACATTTTCCATATAAGGACAGGATCCCTAATATCATGATGCCATTCTTGGACGGGTGGAATGATGTCATTGCAGATGGTAACTGCGGATTTCGGGTTGTGGCGGATGTGTTTCAAATGGGTGAAGACAACTACGGTTTAGTGCGGCAGTTGATGTATAGTGAAATCGCATCAAACCGAGATGTGTATGGCCATGTGTACGGCGAGGACTTGGATAGGTCTCTGCAGCGTATCCGGTGGGGAGGGGGACCTTGCGGTCAAAATCATTGGTTCGATGCGCCACTTGATCTCTTTGCCGTTGCAAACATCTACAAGTGTGCAGTCATGCATTTCGGCCTTGGTTTACATAGTCGAGCCTATTATCCATGTACAACGGTTCTGCCCTGGTGTTCGCGCGAGACCGTCACCAGACCGGTAAGGGACGTTGCTATTGGATTTCTTGGGCCGTCATACAGACATTTTATCCGATTAGACATGTCACCCGATTTTCCAGTCCCAAATATCATACCGAAGTGGTATGAAATTCGTAGAGCAAGCGTGGAGGGTTGGGATGCTTTGTACCATGCTCGCGTGCAACAGTGGAACAATTTAATTGCCATGTAGTTTTTGTTGATGTACACCTACCTTTTACTATGAGGCCTTGTATTGTCAATACTATGTCATTTCTATGTGTTCATTTTTAAAAGATAATGTTTCATTTTAAAAACTAACAACAATAATTTCAAATATTACAAACTAAAAAGATAATATTGAATTTTAAAAACTAAGAACAATAATTTCAAATATTACAAACTAAAAAGATAATGTCTAATTTCAAATATCAGTAATCCCTCTGTGACGCCCACTGCCACTGCTCAAGGGTCCGTTCCAGATCGTCAATAACAGCTCTGCCTGATGCACTCGTCATGCAGTCCCTTTCCTCAAAAAGTCGGTGTCCCAACTACATAATCTTGCCCATCCACTACACAAAACAAAAAACATGAAACGACGTATTATACATATATATATTAAAATAAGAGAACAACAAATAAAAGATGAGACGTACCGCATAAGAGGCAGTGGCAGGTGGCACATCGTCATCATCTGCGTCGTCGATGTCTTTGATCAACCTCGGGTGCGAGTGCCGGATGTACCATTCCATGTAGTGCTGGTCACACATGGCAGTCACCCCACTTGGCGGCCGCTGCAGCTCCGCCGTCCATAGGCGGGCAACCATCGGAAACTGCTCCCACATGGATATCATGTTTGACGGCCATTGGACGACGTACTCCTTCGACGACGCAGATCGTACCGCCTTACTGGGCCATGCCGGTGGAGGTGGGACAACTTGGACAAATCCAAGCTGGCGAAGACAGCGCTGCGGCATGTACGCCTCTACGATCTCGCGATACTGAATCAGTCCAGTGTAGAGGGTCCTGGGTACCCTATTACTAGGGTTCTGGGCGAAAGGCATCCAGTTCACCTGCACATTATTTAAAATCAGTAACAGTCATAAAATAAAGCATCAGATTGTAAAAGTAGAAATAATTTAATCACTGTACCTCTAAGGGGGACATCCTGTCAAGCGATAACCGTATGGAGCGCAGGCGGTCAACGGACTTCTTCTCGACACGCGGACTCCACGCACAGGCACGTGGCTGGCCATCACCAATGGGAACCGGGTCGCGGTGTGGTCGAAACGCAGGAAAATACTCGTATATCCAGGTCTGTAACAACGTCAGACATCCAGTGATACCTGCTGCATCAGCCCAGCTCGAGAATCCTAACTGGCGATACAGATACGCCAGCGTAGCCGACCCCCAAGAAAACTGGCCTACTCTGTCGGGCTCACACGCGTCAACTATGTCGCGTGGCCTGAGCTTGTTCCCGCTCTTATCCGGAAACAAGGTACACCCGAGAAGAAGAAAAACATATGCAGCCAGCTGTGTGTCCTGCGTCCTACGTGCCGTAGGGTGCAAACATCGCTGCAAGACGGCTGCGATCTTAACGCCGCCGTGATCCCACACACCAAGTGCCGATGTGTACAGCGCAGCCCTATCCACCGCCAACAGCTCCGCTAGTAAATCTGCCTGATCCGCATCAGTGACGACAGATGCTCGGTTTCCCTCCACGGGAATCCCAAGGATGGCCTCGACGTCATGCAACATGATCGTCATCTCACCGAACGGAAGGTGGAACGAGTTCGTATCCGGCTGCCATCGCTCAACGAAAGCCGTGATCAGCGTCCAGTCAATCCTGTCGTGCATGGTGGCAGGAAGGTGACTCACTCTAGTGGCCCTCAATCGCCCGACCATCTCGCTCTCCTCCGGCCAAGCATCAGCCCAGCTACACAAAAACCTACAAGTCTTTTCCCGGGTTTGGCATTTCAAAATGCCTGTATCCAAAGCCCTCTCCTGGTCCTCCCAAATACGGGTAGCGATGTGTCCTAAAAAGCTAGGAATCACACTCCCGTCTATAGGTCCCCCGGCCACCTCACCCCTCACCATCCAAGAATCATTAACGGCCCTCGACCGTTTTCTGCTACCCGCAGACACAGTGGACGCAGATGATGTGCCAGATCTACTAACAAACCTACCATCTCGACCCTTACGCACATCTACCCTATGCGTCTCATACGTATCATCAAGCCTCTGACTGAATGGACCGTAATCATCATATGGTCCACTCTGATCGTCGACATCCTCATCTGCATCATCCTCCTCCTCGACCTCCTCCTCCTCGACCTCCTCCTCCTCCTCCTCATCATCATCATCATCATCTTGATCGTCCGCAGAACAGTGCACCCGTTCTCTGCGGGCCGAGGCCGAAATACCACGGGATCTAACGTGTCTGGGCCCCGAGCTCTCCATTGAGTAGATCGTACTCCTCACGACGTCAATACTCTTCCCCGCACCAGGTCTAAATTGCGATGCCTAACTCCAAGTAAATAACGAAACATAATAACGAAAACAAATTAAAAAAAGTCGAAAATAAACACAAAAGCAAATAAACAAGTCACGGAAATAAAATTATAAACATAAAAAATATAAATATATACAAGACAATATACATATAAACATAAAAACAAAATATAAATATGAACAAAACAATATACCAAAAACAAAATATATAACCAAAAACAAAAAATATAAACAACAAACTAAAAAATGAAAAACATAAACAAAAACAAAAAATCAAAAATGCAAAGAAAAAACCAAAAACAAAAAACTAACAAAACTTAAAAATTTTAAAATTGCAAAAACTTAAAAAAAGAAGAACATCAAAATTTTAAAGAAAATTTATAAAAAAAAAAAGGGAACTTATAATTTTTTTACATACAAAAATATAATTCAAAAAAAAAAAAAATACATAGGAACATAAAATTAAAAATTAAAACCAGATACAATTTTTTTTTTTAACAAAAAAAATAGAACATAAAATTAAAACAAATAAAAAAACAAAATTTAAAAAAAAAAGATAAAAAAAAAAAGGGAACATACAATTTAAAAAAAAGAAAAACAAATTTTAAAAAAAAAAAAAAAAAAAAAATTCGAAAAAAAAATTTAAAATTAAAAAAAAACAAAAAAATTAAAAAAAATAAAAAGGAAGGAGGCGCCTAGGCAAGACGCCCGTACGGTGGTGGCGGCGCCTAGCCCAGACGCCAATACCACGGCCGTGGCGCCTAGCCTCTGCGCCGCCGCCGTGGTAGTGGCGTCTGGGCTAGGCGCCGCCACCACCATACGGGCGTCTTGCCTAGGCGCTTCCTCCGTGGTGGTGGCGTCTCGCCTTGGCGCCCCACCGTCGCCGGAGGTTTTTTTTTAAAAAAAAAAATTATAAAAATTAAAAAAATTACCTTCTGGCCGGCAAACCGCCTTCCGCCCACCGCCGGTGCCGCCACTTCCTTGCCGGGCCGCCTCGACATAGCTCTGGAAATAATTTAGAGAGAGAAAGTGGAAGTAGAGAGTAGAGAGAGAAATTGTGTGTTTTTTAGTATGAGGGCAAAAGTGTAATTTCACTCTTATTTTGTGGGCTTTATGTAGGAATTTGCGGGCGATGTTTAACAGTTCACTTTATCATAGTTATAAATCACAAAAACTAGTCAAAGTGTAGTTTATGAATAGTGTAAAAGTTAAACGATATCAATTAAAAAAAAACGGAGTAAGTAGCTCACTAGCTGATTAGGTAAAATCTCAAAAGAATCATATAGGGTATATACCTTAACATTTGTTAAGTCCTCAAGGAGTTAAGGGTGGGTTTTTTTTTTTATTTTTGTTTTTTTTTTTGCTCTCACCTAATTTACCCTTTGGCCTAATTCAGATTTATGGCTTAGTTTTAGATGGTTAGGTTCTGAGAAAGTAGAAATAGAGGAATGTTATGTATTTGTTGGTACATAACATGACAATTCGTAAATATTTTAAAAATTAACATTAGTATCATTGAGATGTGAAATGTATCATGGTTATTACAATTGTAATGATAATAGTTAAAATTACACTAAAGACTGTTACAATGATATACTTTTGAAGCTAATATATGCACCACTAGGTTGTGAAATTATGCCATTGGAGTGTAATTGTATAATAGTAGTTGTAATGGTATTAAAATGATTATAGTAGTACAATTAAAACCTAAAAATTAAAATGATAATATGTGGTCCCATCACCTTTTTGTTGTACTAAGTTACCATATGCCCCTATCATGTACCAATAGATACATAACTTTTCTCCCTTTAAAATGTCTCGTTAGGTTTCAATCCCCTCCTAATTATTACTGCGAGAGATTATACACGTGTCCCTATCAAATACAATTCCAATCACCCCTGCACCAACAGTTAATTAATTGGTTTCTTACTTTCTCCATATCCTCATTTCTTAAGAAACCCACCTTGCTAGGTTGAGTCGGATAATCAGTGTAGGATATGAGTCCGATAAAACACTTAGAAACTATCGTAAACTTTATTTTAATACTACGTAATGTGTTTCAGTCATTCAGATGAGCAAAGACGTCCCGTATAATAAAATCCAAACAAAACAAAAACGTGGCATATCCATGAATCGATCGTGAATAAATTCTGAACTAGTTTGCGTCTCATCAAATGCTATAAATACAAACAAACACCTATCTTTTCCCTTTCATTTTTACTTCCCCAGAACTTTCTACATCTACATTTTATAATCAATTTTTTCCAAAAAGTTTAACATTTTTTCATTTTCATATTATATATATATATATATATATATATATATATATATATAGAGAGAGAGAGAGAGAGGGGCTCATGTAAGAACCCTCCTCTATATAAGAACTCATTATATATAAGAACTATTTTCAGCCATTAGATCTATTGAGATCTAACGCTCTACATTAACCCGGATCAAAATAATGGCAGTATTGTAATTAATGAAATTTTTATGGTATAATAGAAACTTTATAAAATAAGTCAGCTCTTTCTCTCTCTTTGGTGCAACATTTTTCTCTCTCTAAAGTTCTTCCCCAATTTCTCTCTCTAAAGTTCTTACCCAATTTTGCAACTCTTGTGCAATTATTTAAAGTTTTTAAAGCAAGATTCATCAAATTGTTCATTTGAATTTGCTTGAACTCTCGAATTTTGTGCCAATTCTTCATAAATTAAGGTTCTCGTCAATATTTTTGCGATTTCTAAAGAATTTTGTTTTGGCGATTATAGGTTCGATTTTTTTTTTTTTGGTGATTTCTATTTATTTTGTTCGATTATTTATCAGTTTGATTGTTCAATTTTTCTGCTCTAATTTTGATTTTATTTTGTTCGATTTTCTTTTTCGATTTTGAAGCGATTTTGATGCTAGTTTGTTCTCGGCTCTTGTTTTCTTTGTGTCTGAGGAATGTAACTGTACATGTATGTTTCAAAGTTTATTATGTATGTTCTTAATGTTCTCTCCATGTTCAAAAGTTTGATCTTTATGTTCTAAAGAGTTATCTAGCTTTGTGGTTGTTAAGCATTTTATAACAAGGACTACGTAGTACAATAGTGTTGATGATATTTTAATGATTATGTTGCATTTATCGAATTATCAAGTCTAATTTTTCTACGTTTGATTGAATTTTGAGTCTAATTTTCTACATTTTATTGATCGTGTGACTAAGTGTGTTTATTTTGAATTTCAAGTTTATCATATCTTATTTTGGATCCTAAAGTTAATCAAATATAGGCATCTTCTTCATCAATGTTCTTCAATCAAGTTAATTTCTAGCTCGTTGGTTAAATGTATGACCCTTCATTTCATATTTTTTTGAACTATAATTGATCATGTTCTAAATATTTGTGCACATGTTCTAAACTATTACGCAAATGTTCTAAAGTTATTCATGTTCTATTATATTTGGTGTTGTGAATAATGAACAATAAGCTTGTTTTTCTAAAGATAATAGTCTTAAAAAT